ATCAGCCCCTTGATTACTCATCAACCCCAATTAGTCCTGGCCTGGAGGACCAGTCGAGACCTGGCACGTGCAGCAGAGGGAGCCACCGCTGCGTAATGCAGACTCCTTCTGTCACCAGGCCTTGACGAGTCTCCCCCTGGTGGCTTGTATCCCGCCAGCCCCAGGAAGGACTTAACTTGTGTCTTGGTGTGGGGAACGGGCCAGTCACGAATCGCCTGGACCTTTCTCCCCTGGAGCTTGATGTTCCCCCATCCGATCAAATACCCTAGGTACTCCACCTCCTCGAACACCAGTTTGCATTTCTTGGGATTCACTGTCAACCCGGCTTGCCTGAGCGCATCCAGTACCGCCTGGAGGTGCGTCAGGTGCTCTTCCCAACCTTGCTGTGGATGATGATGTCATCCAAATAGGTCTCTGTGTACTGTTGGTGGGGTTGGAGGACTCGGTCCATCAGGCGCTGGAACGTGGGCGGGGCTCCATGGAGACCGAACGGGAGGATCCGGTATTGGTATCCAGTAGCAACCTCTCACTACCTCCAACCCCCCCTTGTGCTGCCCTCCTGGCAGCTTTATGGGCCCTGTACGGCTGGTAGCAATCAGCCCCTTGATTACTCACCTGCCTCAATCAGCCCCAATTAGTCCTGGCCGGAGGACCCATCGAGACCTGGCACGTCCAGCAGAGGGAGCCACCGCCACGTGATGTAGACTCCATCTGTCATTTTAAAAACATTTTAGTCATTTAGCAGACGCTCTTATCCAGAGCGACATTAGTTAGTGAGTGCATACATTTATTTTTATTTTTATACTGGTCCCCCGTGGGAAACAAACCCACAACCCTGGCATTGCAAACGCCATGCTCTACCAACTGAGCTACACGGGACTACGACGAGTGTCCCCCTGGTGGCTTGTCCGCAGTACGCCTCAATATATATTATTATCATAAAATATATACTGTATATATATTAACCCATCCATATTTTTCAATTGTGCTGTGATGTTTTACATACATTTTGAACCTTTCTAATCATATAGTATCCACAGATTGTGAGCTAAAGATGAAAACCTTTCCTACTAGTATTATTATATTATTTATTGACTGACTATGGCTTTCCAAATCGCCCAACACTGCTATTTGTAAGGTTAATTTTAAGTGAATGTTGTGATTTTTTAACCATTCCTGTACCTGTGACCAGAATCATGCTACATATGGGCAATACCATAATTAAATGATCAAGTGATTCTGTCTCTTCACAGCAAAATCTACAGAGCTGAGATTGTTGTATGCCCCATATATATTTAGCATTCTGTTGGTGGGAAGAATTTTGTATAATAATTAAAATTGAGTGTTGAATCAAGTGTTGTTTTTTTGTACCAGTTCATGAACCATGTGCCATGGAATCTGTACATCGAAAATCTCTTCCCAAATCTCCATATTTTTTTATTTACGGATAGCCAGGGGGACACATTAATTTACAAACGAAGCATTTGTGTTTAGTGAGTCCGCCAGATCAGAGGCAGTAGGGATGACCAGGGATGTTCTCTTGATAAGTGCGTGAATTGGACCATTTTCCTGTCAAAATGTAACGAGTACTTTTGGGTGTCAGGGAAAATGTATAGAGTAAAAAGTACATAATTTTCTTTAGGAATGTAGTGAAGTAAAAGTAAAAGTTGCCAAAAATATAAATAGTAAAGTAAAGTACAGATACACCAAAAACCTACATAAGTGGTACTTTAAAGTATTTTTACTTAAGTACTTTACACCACTGTTCAGAGGGTGAATCGGCAAGACAAAATATTTAAGTGCCTTTGAACGGGGTATGGTAGTAGGTGCCAGGCGCACCGGTTTGAGTGTATCAAGAACTGCAACGCTGCTGGGTTTTTCACACTCAACAGTTTCCCGTGTGTATCAAGAATGGTCCACCACCCAAAGGACATCCAGCCAATTTGACACAACTGTGGGAAGCATTGGCATCAACATGGGCCAGCATCCCTGTGGAACGCTTTCCACACCTTGTAGAGTCCATGCCTCGACGAATTGAGGCTGTTCTGAGGGCAAACGGGGGTGCAACTCAATATTAGTATGGTATTCCTAATGTTTTATACACTCAGTGTACCTTTTGGGCACTGTTGTTTTGGCTGTTGTTAAGAGTTTCCTTCAGTATGTGAGTCATGTAGAGGATAGATTATCTTCCGCATTTTTCAGTTCTTGCTCCAACGTGCCTGTGTTCGTGCCGATGCCGTTTTTCAAAATGTACCAGGAAACATGGGGTGCGAGTGCGATACAACGTTTCTGTTGTACGACTGAAGGATGAGATTCAATTGTTGAGGAAATCATAACCAATGTTTACACATCACTCACAGCAGTTAAGAAGATCGCTTACTGGATTAGGCAGACAGAATGTTAGTCTGTGAGTCTTTCTGTTTTTAGTTAACATTGATGTTGGGATGATGGGATGCTATTCCTTTCAAGTGCAATGGGATGTCATCACATCAGATATGAACAGGTCTCTCACGTGAAATAGATTTGACCTATTACAATGGGATTATCTGTATAAATCAAGGATACATGGATCAATTAATGATGCATGACTCATTGCCACCCAATGAAGACTTGGACATGGAATAGGCTACTTTAGATCTATAACAGTTTTTGAAGAGTATCTACATAAGTACTTCATAACACATTCATAAGCTATACATAACACATTCATTAGGCCTATACTCTATTAGGCAACATTGTGAGATTTGCATACTGGCTTGGCTAACAGGTCTATGACTCACAGGCCCGCTTCCCTTTTCCCAGCACAGTGCAGTTTTATAGTGATGCATAGGAAGACTTCATGAGTCAGTCTGTGGGTTACGGACACAAATTATCTGCTTGGCGTGTTGACACACTGGTGGTTTGTTGTGGCCGAGTATTGGTGCTAAACCGTGTTGTTGGAGGCTGGCATGCTAGTTGGCTGTGGCGTCATAGGATTCGGTGCCCTGGATGATCATCAGGCCTGATCATTTCTCACAGATTGCACTAGTGTTACTTACTGACATGCTCCAACATCAAATGATAAGCAGTAGATGAGTGTGTGTGTGTGACCACTATAGCTGATTTATGTGGAGTCTGCTAGGAAGGAATGAATGGGCGTGAGATCCGGAAATCCGATATCAACTCAGACTGACTGCCAATAAAGAAAATCTTGTGAGGTCCACAGTAGTGTGATTGGAGACACACTCCACATACATTTTACATTTTAGTCATTTTAGCAGACGCTCTTATCCAGAGCGACTTACAGTTAGTGCATACATTATTTTATCGAACCCACAACACTGGCGTTGCAAACGCCATGCTCTACCAACTGAGCTACATCCCCTGCCGGCCAAATCCCTCCCCTACCCTGGACGACGCTGGGCCAATTGTGCGCGCCGCCCCATGGGTCTCCCGGTCACGGCCGGCTACGACAGAGCCTGGATTCGAACCAGGATCTCTAGTGGCACAGCTTCGATGCGATGCAGTGCCTTAGACCACTGCGCCATAGTCTTAAGATATAATTATTTGAATCAAGATTATCAAGTATCGACACGTCACTCACTTAGCTTAAGGGAGGATTTCATCACGACAAAGCGAGCTAAACAGACAGGCAATGATTCACAGCATCAGTTTTGTGATTTCTCAATTCAATTCCAAATACAGCTTCACCCTTCCAACTTTCTCCCTTTCTCCCATCATATCAGCCACGGTGCTTCTGCCTCTGCATTGCTTGCTCTTTGGGGATTTACACTGGGTATCTGTAAAGCACTTTTTGACGACTGCTGATGTAAAATGGGCTTCATTTACATTTGATTGATTGATATCATACTGACTATATGTCTAAGGATGGAACTAGAACATGTTCCAGGAAGAAATCCCTCTGTGAAAATGAAAAGGGATTGATCACTCACATGATTCAGTTCTTTGTTGATTGACTTATTCTCTCAACACACACTCTGGATTGATTCTCATCCTTGAGTAGCAGGTACACAAGCCCTTGTCCATTGATTACTCTGTGAGCATGTTTTCTGATTTCCAAGGTTACATTTATCTCTCATTCAGAACAGACCAGATAACAGGTTTAAGCTGTTCAGCAGGTCCTCCTCAAAGTACGTTTCTCATTCCAGGTTGTTAAAAAGGACTTGGCGATTTTATCAAGGAAGAGTCTCTGCACGTATGTGATGTGAATGATACTCGATGAGTGTGTGGTGATAGAAATGAATCATGCATGCAGAACAACAACAAGGTTCCATAAAACAGCATAAAAAAGAAATAAGAAAAAAAGAAGTGTTGCACAAAACATTTCCTTGACACGCAAAACTCAAAATATATATTTCACCAACATTTGTACATATACATAATATACAATAGATACACCTGCACAATCTATTTTACACATAGCTATTACGTACAGGGAAGCTATCCCTTTAAATAGTAATGCCAGAGGTCAGGTCGATGACAATAGGGTCACAACAAGCTACCTCACATTAGCAGCATATAGCCCTTGATAGGCATTTTGCATCCCAAATGGCACCTTGTTCCCTATATAGTGCACTACTTTTGACCAGAGCCCTATGGGCCCTGGACAAAAGGAACACACTATACGTGTAGTGAATAGGGAGCGATTTGGGACACAATCATTGTCTAGCTCCCCTACCAGTATGTCAATGTCCTAAAGCCCCTGCCAAGAGGTCTGGCCTTTTATGGCACAGGTAGTACACTCAATTCACAGAGGGTCACAAGTCCCTCTTTGTCCCCTAAATCATTACATGATCAACAGGGTTGATCGGTCAGATAAAGACTGTGGTGCCGCCTGGGCATCTCTTTGGGCACTGCCCACCAATGTCCTATTTGGTCGGGAGTGAGGGTTAGGAGTCCAGCACCTCCTCGTTTTCAGCACTGGCTTTCTGATAACCTCTGACATTTGATGTAAGACCCCACGCCTTGGGATGCAAGAGGTTCATGAGAACAGTTCTTAGTATCTGCCCAAACAAACAAACACACACACACACATGTAACCCAGAACAATACAGGAGGCAGTGTGTCAATAAGTCCTGACAGTTCCAGGACAAACAAAGGAAAAGGCGTCTCCATAGTCCAATACTCCACACACTCTCAGCCTGTATCCAACTCGTTAAGGTCGTCCATCGACTGTGGAGCTCAAACTCCTGACACTTTTCAGCAGTGCAGTTAGGGTCCACCTTAAGATGGCTTGCTTTTTGAGGGCCAGTCAATGACACTGAAGTCACTTGGCTCCCAGGTCATACTGGGTCAGGTTGTAGCTTTATCTGTCTGCACAGTATTAATCACTACTGGGTCAGTGTGTAGTCTCTCAGTGGTCAGGCTGCATCATGGGAAGTGTAGGGTCTTTCTCTAGGCTGATCTTACATTCCACCTCCTCCTTAACCGGGACATAGAGATTGCCTATGGAGCTCTGGAACACAGAGAGAAACAGTTGGAGTGGGTTAGTGTGTGTTTATCGGGTGTGTGTGTGTATGTCTGAGAATGTGAATGTGTGTGTGTGGGTAAGGGTGTTAACTAGTGCAAACAATGTCTATTCCACATTGGTTCCATGTCATTTCATTGAAATGACGTAGAAACAATGTTTATTCAACCAGTGTGTGCCTGGTGGGTAGTACTGTAAGAGGAAGTTTAGTATCTAATGCATATGCTGATGTTAGCATTTCCAGTAAGTGAAGTTCAACAACAGTTGCAGTTGACCACTGCTAATAATGAAAGAGACCAGAGGATGTTGCTGTTCTCACCTTCTGTTCCTTATTGCTGTTCAGCATGTCCTTGAAAATCAGTGAGGGTTGTGGAATCTTAGGGAAAAGCTTCTCTCTGTGCCTGGAAAAGAACCACAAAACTATTTGCCCAAAATTCAAACCCTAATCACCAAAATGGCAATTAATTAAGTGAAAACACATTTCCTAGATATCTTCCGTCTCTTAAGACATTCAATCAATCTAAATCCCAACACACACGCGTACGGACACACACGCACGCACACGCTCACACACTCAGAACGCAGACAAATGGATATACAGTGAGGGAAAAAAGTATTTGATCCCCTGCTGATTTTGTACGTTTGCCCACTGACAAAGAAATGATCAGTCTATAATTTTAATGGTAGGTTTATTTGAACAGTGAGAGACAGAATAAGAACAAACAAATCCAGAAAAATGCATTTTAAAAATGTTATAAATTGATTTGCATTTTAATTAGGGAAATAAGTATTTGACCCCCTCTCAATCAGAAAGACTTCTGGCTCCCAGGTGTCTTTTATACAGGTAACGAGCTGAGATTAGGAGCACACTCTTAAAGGGAGTGCTCCTAATCTCAGTTTGTTACCTGTATAAAAGACACCTGTCCACAGAAGCAATCAATCAATCAGATCCCAAACTCTCCACCATGGCCAAGACCAAAGAGCTCTCCAAGGATGTCAGGGACAAGATTGTAGACCTACACAAGGCTGGAATGGGCTACAAGACCATTGCCAAGCAGCTTGGTGAGAAGGTGACAAAAGTTGGTGCGATTATTCGCAAATGGAAGAAACAAAAGAACTGTCAATCTCCCTTGGCCTGGGGCTCCATGCAAGATCTCACCCCGTGGAGTTGCAATGATCATGAGAACGGTGAGGAATCAGCCCAGAACTACATGAGATGATCTTGTCAATGATCTCAAGGCAGCTGGGACCATAGTCACCAAGAAAACAATTGGTAACACACTACACTGTGAAGGACTGAAATCCTGCAGCGCCCGCAAGGTCCCCCTGCTCAAGAAAGCACATATACAGGCCTGTCTGAAGTTTGCCAATGAACATCTGAATGATTCAGAGGAGAACTGGGTGAAAGTGTTGTGGTCAGATGACACCAAAATCGAGCTCTTTGGCATCAACTCAACTCGCCGTGTTTGGAGGAGGAGGAATGCTGCCTATGACCCCAAGAACACCATCCCCACCGTCAAACATGGAGGTGGAAACATTATGCTTTGGGGGTGTTTTTTCTGCTAAGAGGACAGGACAACTTCACTGCATCAAAGGGACGATGGACGGGGCCATGTACCGTCAAATATTGGGTAAGAACCTCCTTCCCTCAGCCAGGGCATTGAAAATGGGTCGTGGATGGGTATTCCAGCATGACAATGACCCAAAACACACGGCCAAGGCAACAAAGGAGTGGCTCAAGAAGAAGCACATTAAGGTCCTGGAGTGGCCTAGCCAGTCTCCAGACCTTAATCCCATAGAAAATCTGTGGAGGGAGCTGAACGTTCGAGTTGCCAAACATCAGCCTCGAAACCTTAATGACTTGGAGAAGATCTGCAAAGAGGAGTGGGACAAAATCCCTCCTGAGATGTGTGCAAACCTGGTGGCCAACTACAAGAAACGTCTAACCTCTGTGATTGCCAACAAGGGTTTTGCCACCAAGTACTAAGTCATGTTTTGCAGAGGGGTCAAATACTTATTTCCCTCATTAAAATGCAAATCAATTTATAACATTTTTGACATGCGTTTTTCTGGATTTTGTTGTTGTTATTCTGTCTCTCACTGTTCAAATAAACCTCCCATTAAAATGATAGACTGATCATGTCTTTGTCAGTGGGCAAACGTACAAAATCAGCAGGGGATCAAATACTTTTTTCCCTCACTGTAGTGTAGGTTGACTTACCTCATAAAACAACAAATCAAAAGGATGAGGAATAAGAAGACTGCAGCTGGAATGACAGTACCAACCACAGTCATCGACCATTCATCCACACCTGAAAGGAAAACAAGCAAAACATCAGTGACTGGGTCTAATTCTAATCTTGACAAGGCTATTACATTTAGCCAACATTCAATACACAATTATATTACTATGACATATACTATTTTATAGACTACTGGTATATTCAACTTTTTATTCTATTTGCTCCTATTTTATTTTATTTATTCATAAAAAATGTAACCTTTATTTAACTAGGCAAGTCAATTAATAAGGATGTGTGGCTGAAGGGGAAAGTTTCAACTATTTCAATGGTAGTACAATTACATAATTGTATGTGTTGTGAAAGAGAGAGAGAATGTAAAGAAAGAAAGAAAGAAAGAAAGAAAGAAAGAAAGAAAGCAGGAAAGAGGAGGAAGTACCGTAGATTTCCTCTTCGCTCCAGTCGCTGCCTCCGTCCCCACACCATTTCTGATAGACTGCTTTCACCTGCACTCTGTACTGGCATCTCCGGTCATATGGAACCTTCACTGGTACATATTTCGATTGTATTTCCTTACTCTGCAAGAAACATACACAGAACCATGAGTGGAACTCAAATAGTGGTACACTCTTAGAAAAAAAAGGTGCTATCTAGTACCTAAAAGGGTTCTTCGGCTGTCCCCATAGGAGAACCCTTTGAATAACCTTTTTGGTTCCAGGTAGAACTATTTTGGGTTCCATGTAAAACCCTTTCCACAGAGGGTTCTACATGGAAACCAAAAGGCTTCTACTTGGAACCAAAAGGGGTTCTACCTGGAACCAAAAGGGGTTCTCCTATGGGGACAGCCGTAGAACCCTTTTGGAACCTTTTTTTCTAAGAGTGTCCTATTTGACTGAAACACACATGCCCACACATGCCCACAGACACACACACAAACAGCAGATGTCCAAGGCCCCCCTCATCCTAAAACATTCAGTATGTACGTCATAGCAATGTAAACATTCTCCAGTGACTAAAGCTGTATTTTTCTTGGTGTAATTCACAGAAGTGGCCTGTCTCATGGTGACCATAGCAGAACGCCCAACCCATCATCTGAACTATATTCTGTCTGCAGCCAGCTAAACTTAGGCTTCTTTATCTGTTTCTTTGTTTATGGATAATAATCATGATTACAAACACAGGTTTTGAAAGGTTCCCTGTTGCAAAATAGATTTTTATCTCAGTGAGACTAACTTGCCAGGTTGTCAATGTAAAAAAGAATTTGTTCTGAACTAGTTTTCCTAGATAAATAAAGGGAGACATAAATGTAAATACAAATATCCACACATCCAGGGCTTACCAGAGACTCTTGACACTTGTTGTAGTTTAAGATGTAATTCCAGCAGTGGCTAGCGCCTATGTCCGGAGGGTCCCAGCTCAGGATGAGATTCTTCCCTTCCTCTGTGATCTTCACCTTAGGGGCCTGGGGCTTGACTGAAGAGAATCAGACATACAGTATAACATTAGATAAATGAGAGTATTGGTAATATCAACAATATTGCATACTTGAGAGTTTAGTAGTATCATGTAATTACTAATTGGTTGGTCGACTTGGAATTGACCTCCATAGGGAAGTAGGGGTGCTGGAGGTGGTGCAGCACCCCCTGGTGAAATGGTAAAACTGCAAGAATTTGTGGTGTAGCAAGAAATACATAAAAAAATACTTGGGTGGTGGAGAGAGAAAAACATGGGCCCCATTCTGCATGGAGAGCTCTCGGCTATATTTTGTAAGCGGTACGCTCATGATATGCTCTGATTTATTCAGTTGTGGGGGTTTGGAGTCAGACGCGCTCTGCTGAACGATAGACAGTTTACTTTGAGTTAAGTCAGGTCTCTCTCTCTCTCTCTCTCTCTCTCTCTCTCTCTCTCTCTCTCTCCCCCTCTCTCCCTCCCCCTCTCTCCCTCTCTCTCCCTTTCCCTTTTCCCATAGAGTGTTTTTCAAGTTTGGGGAAGTTAATTTTCACCATAAACATTCACCTTTATAATAAAGCATTCCATGCATCTATCATCGCATTTGCAGACTTATATAAGATAGCCTACTATTCCAAAGGGGATGAGTTGATTGGATAGTCACAATTTAGGCTAATAATGTTACTGAATCACTGTTCCCAAAAAAGACTGCGGTGTTCAATGCATGGCTGAGCCTGTAGTGGCGTAGAGTATGCCTAGGCTATCGGATACATTTCTTCATGTGTTTTATAAACACATTTCATGCAATTCTACTACATTTTATGTTTTTAATACGACAACAATTACAGGGTAGTCTAGGCCTATAGGCTACTGCCGACTCTGGCCTATGAAAGGGAAGACACAAATTGTACAATATGAAGTCCATCTAACCTGGAGGAGGGAATTATTGTTATTGTTCAAAAACAAAGTTTCAAGTGGCACTGGCCCAATGATAAAGAGTGAATTATGCGCACAGCGCATGGGGATATGGCTGATGTTCTCAGCTGGTACCAATAAGATAGGCTACTGTTTGCTCAAATTGCGAATTTTGATAACTAAAATACAGATTAGAGTCTTTTCATTGTCTTCTCTTTACAGCAATAATAGCCATTTCCTTTCCAAACTATGTTTTCCCCCAATGAAATTGGAGGTAGAGGACAGAAAAAACATGGGATATTAAAATATACACTGAGGGTACAAAACATTAAGAACATCTGCTCTTTCATAGACTGACCAGATAAATCCAGGTGAAGGCTATGATCTCTTATTGAGATCAGTGTGGATGAAGGGGAGGAGACAGGTTAAAGAAGGATTTTTAAGCCTTGAGACAATTGAGACATGGATTGTGTATGTGTGCCATTCAGAGGGTGAATGTGTGAGACAAAAGTTTGAAGTGCCTTTGAACGGGGTATGGTAGAAGGTATCAGGTGCACCGGTTTGTGTCAAGAACTGCAACGCTGCTGGGTTTTTCACGCTCAACAGTTTCCTGTGTGTATCAAGAATGGTCCACCATCCAAAACTCATCCAGCCAACTTGACACAACTGTGGGAAGCATTGTAGTCAACATGTGCCAGCATCCCTGTGGAACACTTTTGACATCTTGTAGATTCCATGCCATCATAGATTCCAACTAATTTATGCTGTTCTGAGGGCAATGTCTCGCATAGCTGTCCATGGTCCTGAAACCGTATATTTTTGGGCTCAGTTTTAATACGCACAATCTTGTGTTTACTAATTTAATTACAACACCCCTCTTGTTTTCTCTCTCTCTCTCTCTCTCTCTCTCTCTCTCTCTCTCTATCTCTCTCTCCCCCCCACACACCCGCTGTTACGCAGTAGCCTACAAAGAAATGTGTGCTCTATTCACAATGGTTAATTTTGTTTTGCAAACAGTCATGAGTTAAATCAACTTAGGCTGTAGTGACTCCTGTTACCGAATCTTGTCCCGAATATTGGCTACTCATCACATTAGGAATTGTATTTTGTTGTTAACCTGCAAATGCTTTATTATAAAGATGTTTTTTTTCAACTAACAGCTATGTTTACCTCCCGAGTTACATTTGTTTGAATGGTTTTCAGATCATACCATGAGGATATATTGCAAACATAGATTTTTAACTGTTAAATAATGTGGTATGGGGTTATTCTTACCATGATATCTAGGAAGCACCAGGAAGTTATTCCGTACATACGAGCCATTGAGAGTCCCATTGACCAGGAAGTAGACGTCATATTGAAGGAAGGCTCCTCTCAGGTGACATCCTGTCCTCTGAGCAGCTCTGTACTGGTACTCACTGCATGCTGCTATGTGGGAGTCACCAGGGGACCTGAAACATTAGGGATGAGAGGGATGACAATCTGTCACTGCTCAGCTCAACTGACTCGGCTCAACTGACTCGGCTCAACTGACTCAGCTCAACTGACTCGGCTCAACTGACTCGGCTCAATTGACTCGGCTCAATTGACTCGGCTCAAATGACACTGCTCAACTGTCACAGCTCAACTGACACTACTCGAGTCAACTGACACAAAGTTTAGCTTTTTTGAACAGCTGTAACTGGCGTTTCCTGCAATCTAGAGCAAAAAATTGCCTTATATGATAACAAATAAAGTAACAAATATAATATATTTACATTACGTTCAAAAGTTTGGGGTCACTTAGAAATGTCCTTGTTTTCAAAAGAAAAGCAATTTTTTTGTCCATTAAAATAACATCAAATTGATCAGAAATACAGTGTAGACATTGTTAATGTTGTAAATGGCTATTGTAGCTGGAAACGGCTGATTTTTTACTACTCCCTTCACAGAACAGCGCAAACAGGCTCTAACCAGAATAGAAAGAGGAGTGGGAGGCCCCGGTGCACAACTGAGCAAGAGGACAAATACATTAGAGTGTCTAGTTTGAGAAACAGACGCCTCACAGGCCCTCAACTAGCAGCTTCATTAAATAGTACCCGTAAAACACCAGTCTCAACGTCAACAGTGAAGCAGCGACTCCAGGATGCTGATCTTCTAGGCAGAGTTGCAAAGAAAAAGCCATATCTCAGACTGCCAATCTTAATATTTTCTTTTTATTGGCCAGTCTGAGATATGGCTTTTTCTTTTAAGTTTGCACTGTTCTGTGAAGGGAGTAGTACACAGCGTTGTACGAGATCTTCAGTTTCTTGGCAATTTCTCGCATGGAATAGCCTTCATTTCTCAGAACAAGTATAGACTGACGAGTTTCAGAAGAAAGTTATTTGTTTCATTTTGAGCCTGTAATCGAATCGAATTGCTGATGCTCCAGATACTCAACTAGTCTCAAGAAGGCCAGTTTTATTGCTTCTTTAATCAGCACAACAGTTTTCAGCTGTGCTAACATAATTGCAAAAGGGATTTCTAATGATCAATTAGCCTTTTAAAATGATAAACTTGGATTAGCAAACATAACGTGCCATTGGAACATAGGTCTGATGGTTGCTGATAATGGGCCTCTGTACGCCTACGTAGATATTAAAAATGAGCAGTTTCCAGCTATAATAGCCATTTACAACATTAACAACATCTAGACTGTATTTCTGATCAATTTGATGTTATTTTAATGGACAAAAAAAATGTATTTTTTACATAGTGGCACAGCCAGTCCACAAGGTGGCGCAGCGCCTCTCTTACATTCTTTGGGGAGAGCCCTGATTCATTTTAAAATAGTTCTCACCTGTAGTAGAACTGGAGGTCTTTTGAGGCATCATTGACTGGAAGCCAGCTGCAGTTCATGGCCTTAGAGGAGTAGAGAAAACATCCAAAGTTCTTCACCAACTCTGTTATAAGAGAGAGAGAGAGAGAGAGAGGAGAGAGAGAGAGGAGAGAGAAAGAGAGAGAGAGAGAGATAGAGAGAGTAGATCAGAGAGAGAGAAGAGAGAGAGAGAGAGAGAGATAGAGATAGCGCTTCCTCACTCAGATCTAGATCATCTAGCTCTCTCGCTCGAATCGCTCTATCATCTAGAGATCTCCCCTGCTTGAAACCTTGCCACGAGTCTAGACCACAAAAATAGGATCTGACAAATACTGATGCAGATCTAAACGTTGTCCTGATAAAAAACCGGTTGGCATTTATTGAGATGACCCATGTACTAGAGGCAGCTCTGCAGAGTGGTCACTAGCTAGCACAGCCACAAAGTCATAAATCTGATTTTAACCCTAACCTTAACCACACTGCTAACCCTAATGCCTAACCCTAACCTTAAATTAAGACCAAAAAGCACATTTTTGTTTTCAGCTGGACCATCTAGCGGAAATCGTTCAGTTCTGCCTCCAGGGCAAGACTCATGACAATAAAAGCCAACCTGCGATAAAAAATGTTAACATTAATAAACTTTTCTATCCTCTATGGTAACACTTCACTCGACATTGTGCTCAGCTGTAAGGTCATTGTTTTTATTTGCTGTATGCTTAACCCTTTGTTAAATATTTTGGATGGGCATATCAGGCCTACTGTAAAGTACAAATACAAACAAGGGCATTTCAAACATGTAAAGCTATATTAATTTCAGCACATTGTTTGTATTACTGTAGACATATTGGATAAAGTTCAGGAGTTCACAAGTCCCAATGCATATAGGGGCAAATTCTAACTTCCACTTTAGTCACATTTTCGCTTAGGGTGCGTTCGTAGATAGCACTCTGGCTATCTACTTCGATTTCAGAGCACTCTCGTCTGTGTGCAAGAGCGCAGAATAACTGATGAATTTAGGAACACGCAACACCTGTTGAATATGAATGAATTTACAAACGCCCAGAGTCATGCATTTATTTCAATTGGAGACTAAGTGAAAATTCGAAGTTCGGGTTGGAAGTTAGGATTCGCTCCAGAGTAATTGTTACCTACCTGTGGATTTAGGTTTAGAGACGCTGACAGGTTTGCTCTGGGTTCTGTCATTACACTCAACGGGGGATGTTATCACTGTGTAATTCACTGCATCATTCATATCGACATTATACTCTTTATATAAGCAGGGAGTTGAACTTATGTTGGATTTCTGCAAAGAAAAATGTAATCGGTATGTCATTTCACATTTTACAAAGTATTAGTATTAGGTATTGAATGTGATGTGTATTATTATTGAGTAATATCACTTTGTAACAGATGATTTTATAATAGTTTATATGCTTGTTTTATATGCATGAATAGGCTATGTGTTGCAATTCAGTCTGTGCATAAAAAACGGTTTGTATTATAAATTAAATCAAAATGTACTTTTGTTTAATTTTCCCTTTCATGTGCCCAAGTGCATTCGACTCACCTGTCCGGTTCTTGTACTATTGATAATGTATTTCACCTTGCATGATGCGTCTAAATCCTTTGGTGCATTCCACGACAGCTTTATAAGGAATTCAGTCGCCCACGTCAATGACAGGTTAAGCGGCTCAGGGAGAGCTGAAGAGGTGACAAGAGACGAGCAGTGTAAAATACTCTGTATGGCAATGTGATGACCAACTGCTATATATGCTATAAATATATATATCATCCTTGCTATGCCTGATCCACAAATCTGTTTGGTGTAAGCCCTAGTTACAATTTCGGAACAATAAGACTCACGGGGGCAAAGTAACAAGGCCACACAACAAGGCTACAAGGTTACATCGAAAATAATAATAATCATAGTAAGTCCATGTCAAATTAATACATGTTTTAATGGATGCAGAAGTTGCACGGGAATCCAACATGTATTTTCATTTTAAACAGATACTTTTCTCATTATCTAAACTTCTCATTCTCTGACGTCGTTTTCGGGAAGTGGACAGGAAATCCTAATTTTCCTAAAAAGGCTTGCCTACTGAAAATTACTAAACAACTGGTGTCATATGACTATTAAAGGTAATGTAAAGTAAATACAATAGCATTACCTTTCTCAGTTGCAACCTCTGGTGCGACCAAGTTAATAAAGTATTGTAGAACCAAGAGACATTCCAAATGTTTCAAAATCATGTTGTCCCGTGCGTAATTTCTGGCAGAGCGCGCCTCCTCAAAATCGCCCGGAATTCCAAAGGTAAGACAAGAATTGTCGAGCAGTTGTCTCCCAAACAGAGCGAACAATAAAAGTGCCTCACGTTAAGATAAATATAAACAAAAGCAAACACTGGCTTTACACCGGCAAGCGAATTATCAATACATTCATACGGTCTATGATTCCATTTCGTGTGACAAATTGGGCGGAGTTTGTATGGAGCAATAGTTCAATGCTATGAGAGTACAGAATAGGATATCCTTTTCAGTTTGAGTGTGTCAGTCATTCGTTTTCTTCATTGGATAAAATCCCGTATAATACACCTCCTCCTGCTTATAAGTCTTGTGTAGGCTATCATTTGAACATCATAATAATAAAGTTAATAATAACTAAATTAATAAAGTTATTACAACGTACTTTTTCCTCAATTTTTATTTATTTATTGAAAAATGGCTTAACAAAGATATGTTGAACAAGCATCTGTACTTAGATACAGTGTAATTACAATGGTAAATCAAAATCAGACACAATCAGAGAAATAAGACTTATCTCAAACCGATGCAACCATGCATTGGTCCAGAAACAGCACAAATATAAATATGTAGCTACATACATACATACACACATACACACATACATCTTTCTTCTTTTACAGCATAACAACATATTATATACATCTGCATATTATTATAATCTATCTGCTAATTTCAGTGTAGCACTTGTGAAATACTGTACAATCATGTGTTGGAGTTTTATTATTACTTGAAATAGGACAGGAGACTTTTCTGAGGAGAAATGTAGGGACTATTAGAGCAATAGGTCCAGCCAGCCATTCAAATCTGGACCTCAAAGTCAGCTCCACTGCTTTTTTAAAAATTATTCCCCTATAATCAGGGACTGATTTAGACCTGGGATACCAGGTGGGTACAATTAATTATCAGGTAGAACAGAAAATCAGCAGTACTCTAGACCTTGTAGGGTAAGATTTGAATACCCCTGTGATAGAGACATCAATCACAATCACCAACCTGGTCCCACAATAATTGGTCTTTTGACCAATGAGATCAGAATTACGCTGCCTGTATAAACGCAGCCTATGAGTTGGCAAGACAGCACCAACAGACCTGGGACCAGGCTAATCAATCATCATTGACTTAATGTCAAAGAACACACCCCATGTCAGAACATACGACAACAGTTCAACAACTGAAGAAACTGTCTGAGCATTGGGTTATTATAGAGTGACTGACAATTTGACATCATAGAGTATACTGCATTAAACCTTACTGTACATCTTCCTTATAGACTAATACAGACAACAGATGGGTTACCGTTTGTTTGTTCCTAAAACATCAGCAAAATAAGCCACCTTAAGCATTGCAGAATAGACTCCCAGCACTTAAGTGTAATGCGTTTGCTCTCTGAAGCAACACAGCCATTTGATGCAGTGTGCAAGGCGAACAACAGCTTTGCATTGATCATGGACAAAAGGCAGCCATTACCTGGGACATGTTCGCAGGGCACACCGTAGCAAAACTGTTTGCAACGTAACACAAAAAAATCTGTGTTTTTATTGGACAAATTCAGGTAGTAGTACCGCCCCATTTAAAAACGTTTTATCCCTACTGAACACACCCAGATGATCCACATACCGTACGTGACTTATCTCATTATAAGGTAGGTAGGCTAATGTCTACAGTGGTAAAGTGTTAACACTATAGAAATAGTTTATATTTCAATGGTCAACACTGCCTTTGATTGGAGAGATTAAGTCATTCTGCATAGAGCTTTGAGTTGCAACAGTCCAGAGTTTAAACAAATAAAACATTACAAAATAACATCTCCCCCTCGCCATTAAAGAATACAAGTCATTCAAGAAACTTGTAGTCCAAGAGAAAAAAGTGCAATGTCATCTAATACATGACTCAACAGCAAGGCCTGACATTTGACCAATTATGTAATATCGGTAGCACATAATACATTCTCCAAATACTGCTAGCACACAGATGTGCCAAGATATCAGAATATCTCGGCCCTCGTATTAGACATCTTGGTGAGCTCAGTTAGGTAACACTATTCAGGAAGTTTGAGAAGGCAAATGGGAATAGCAAGGCCAATATGCCAAGTCATACTGAACAGTGCTCATCCCAAAGTACATTATAGAAAGGTTTCCAGTTGGTGGGGTGGAGTGAGGAAGTCGACAGGTCCAGTTTGGATCCAACTGGCAGAGCGTGTGTGTGTGTGTTTGGGAGAAATAGCTCTACTCTGTGTTAGTCTGTGTTACAGTCACTTTAGCCCAGGTCTGTAGACGTCCCACTGATGGCACGGAATACGTGTAAGGAGTTCTGGAGCAGTGAACGCATCATATCCTCCTGGAAGATCTACAGTGATAGAGTCAGATACAACAACACACATCATTAGCATCATTGGTCAACCAGTCACGTGATAGCAATACATGCATCTCAGTGATCGCATTCACACACCATACAAGCATATAATGGAGTTTCTGAAAATAAATGACAAATCCACACATTATTGCTGTCAAAATGGAACCCAGGGCGTCTTCCCAGAACAGCATTGGGACACAGACCTGCGGTCAAATATTTTGAGCGTTTGCTAAAGCCACCTGGAGTGCCGACAGTATTTGATTGGAGGTCTGATGCAGACAGACCCAGACAGACACACCGTTGCCACATACACTGAGTGTACAAAACATTAAGAACACCTTCCTAATATTGAGTTGCACCCCCTTTTGCCCTCAGAACAGTCTCAATTTGTCGGGGCATGGACTCTACACGGTGTCGAAAGCATTCCACAGGGATGCTGGCCTATGTTGACCACAATGCTTCTCACAGTTCTGTCAAGTTGGCTGGATGTCCTTTGGGTGGTGGACCATTCTTGATACACACAGGAAACTGTTGAGCGTGAAAAACCCAGCAGCGTTGCAGTTCTTGACACAAACCGGTGCACCTGGCACCTACTACCTTACCCAGTTCAAAAGCACTTAAATCTTTTGTCTTGCCCACTCACCCTCTGAATGGCACACATACACAATCCATATGTAAATTGTCTCAAGGCTTAAAAATCCCTCTGTATCCTGTCTCCTCCCCTTCATCTACACTGATTGAAGTAGATTTAACAAGTGACATCGATAAGGGATCATAGCTTTCACCTGGATTCACCTGGTCAGTCTATGTCGTGGAAAGAGCAGGTGTTCCTAATGTTTTGTACCCTCAGTGAATATCAACCCACAAACACCTTTACTCACTGACAATGATTAAAGGGAGGTTAAGGAGGTGATGACAGGTGTGTGTTTCAAGTAGAAATGAATATGCAACATAACTCCACAGAGGGTATCAAATTACCTGGCATTTCTTAAATCTAAGGCGCAGTAAGGGGCAGCATAGACAGAAGAAAGGGGAAAGTTAGTGTTATAGACAGAAAAGGAAAGAAAACGTTAAGACAGAAAAACACTTTTCATTTGCTGCCAAACTAAAGTCAGGAGAAAGAGATGGTACATGAGAGAAAAATAGATTCAGGACATGAGACATGACCTTGGTCAAAGAGAACCATTTTTGCGGCAGGTAGCCTAACGGTTAAGAGTGTTGGGCCTGTAACCGAAAGGTCGCTGGTTTGAATCCCTGAGCAGTCTAGGTTTAAAAAATCAGGCGATGTTCCCTAGAGCAAGGCACTTAACCCTAAAGTCGCTCTGGATAAGAGTGTCTGTTAAATGACTAACATGTTAAATGTAAACATCATTATTCACAGATACTTAAAGTTAAAGTCTGTGATTGGTACATCCATTGATCCTTGAAGAATATCACTTACAAATGCTTCATGAGCTTAGTACAACTGTCATAACCCAAAATATAAGGTTATTCTAACAATGTAGACCTTCTAAATATGGTAAAAAATGTGAATGCCATGGACTGTCAGTCCTTGTCTATTTGAGAGGGATTAGCCTACATTTCCATAGCCCCATCCCTCAGCTGTATACCAAAACAAGTGGCGGGGCAACCGTTTTGTTGTTGTTTCAATTACGGACTGCAGTTTACAGTGGAGGCCTTGCAGAAAATCTGGTTTGAACAAAGGGTTTTCTGGTGTTTACTCGAGAGGGAGGAGAGGAGGATGAGAGCCTAGGAGGAGGAGGAGAGGAACTGATGTGAGACCTCTAGAGAGCGTGGTCAGGAAAATTATGAGAGCCAGAGACAAAAATATATCATTTCTGTTTGTCATTTTGTGTGCATCTGTGTGTTTTTGTAAGGCTGACCTGTTCATGGATGATGTCTGACAGCTCCTCCCTCTCCCCCCATGTCACCTGTTCATGGATGATGTCTGACAGCTTCTCCCCCTCCCCCCATGTCACCTGTTCATGGATGATGTCTGACAGCTCCTCCCCCTCCCCTCATGTCACCTGTTCATGGATGATGTCTGACAGCTCCTCCCCCTCCCCCCATGTCACCTGTTCATGGATGATGTCTGACAGCTTCTCCCCCTCCCCTCATGTCACCTGTTCATGGATGATGTCTGACAGCTCCTCCCCCTCCCCCCATGTCACCTGTTCATGGATGATGTCTGACAGCTCCTCCCCCTCCCCCCATGTCACCTGTTCATGGATGATGTCTGACAGCTCCTCCCCCTCCCCTCATGTCACCTGTTCATGGATGATGTCTGACAGCTCCTTCCCCTCCCCCCATGTCACCTGTTCATGGATGATGTCTGACAGCTCCTCCCCTCTCCCCATGTCACCTGTTCATGGACGATGTCTGACAGCTCCTCCCCTCTCCCCATGTCACCTGTTCATGGACGATGTCTGACGGCTCCTCCCCTCCCCCATGTCACCTGTTCATGGATGATGTCTGACAGCTCCTCCCCCTCCCCCCATGTCACCTGTTCATGGATGATGTCTGACAGCTCCTCCCCCTCCCCTCATGTCACCTGTTCATGGATGATGTCTGACAGCTCCTCCCCTCTCCCCATGTCACCTGTTCATGGACGATGTCTGACAGCTCCTCCCCTCCCCCCATGTCACTTGTTCATGGATGATGTCTGACAGCTCCTCCCCTCCCCCCATGTCACCTGTTCATGGATGATGTCCGACAGCTCCTTCACCATGTCTTTGAAGTTGCCCTTCAGGCCCTCGTGGTACTCAAACTGGTCCTCCTTGATCAGACGCTCGTTGATGTCCAGCGCCATGCTGCAGGCCTCCACAAACCTCCTGCATAGACAGGACACACACACACATACGGACACACAAACCCACGGACACACACCAAGAGTTACATGGGGACAGATGGTGCTGTTCAGAAAGTCTTACTTCATCAAATATTAATAATAGTTACCCATTAAGGGGATTACATATTCAATGATTTGCTACACAACTTGAGTTTGAGCTTTGCGGTGTAGCTGATATCTTGGCATGGTAGTGCGTTGTTGGTTGGGTAATCTACACACACCTGAATATTTCCTTGAGCTCGATTGCTTTCTTATTGTTGGACTTGCTGGTTTTGGAGTCATCCAGAAAGGCTCTGGCGTACGCCATAGGACCAGCATTAACCTGTGGCACACAAGACAAGGGAAGGAGTAACAATCTTTAAGAGTAATGAATATCTTAGGTATTCAGCTTCACTCTCAGGTAGTGTTGGGTAACCCTTATGCTGCCAATCTATATCAACACGCAGCACAATGATAACATCATTGGCTAAACCATAGTGGTTCATCTAGGTGAGTTGCCAGGGGAAAGACTTGAGCAGGACGGACCAATCCTGTTCTGGGAGAGCTATCCTCCTGTAGGTTTTAACCCCAACTCTGTTCCAGGAGAGTTACCATCCTGTAGGTTTTAACCCCAACTCTGTTCCGGGAGAGCTACCCTCCTGTAGGTTTTAACCCCAACTCTGTTCCGGGAGAGTTACCATCCTGTAGGTTTTAACCCCAACCCTGTTCCGGGAAAGTTACCATCCTGTAGGTTTTAACCCCAACTCTGTTCCGGAAGAGCTACCCTCCTGTAGGTTTTAACCTACTGATTTTAGGACCAAACCCTAAAATCAACACTACAAGTTCTGGCATGAAAACATGAATACCTGCATGAACACGCAATGATCTGATAGCGGTTAGAAATAACATCTACATGTACAGAGAGACACAGCCTTGCAGTTTGTTGTGGTGATAAGCTGTAGTGTTAAGGTCTGACGTCAGTCAGTGGTGTTCCCTGAATGCACTAGCTGTTTCCTGTTTGAACCCCAGGGAGAGTAGCGGCTACCTTGGCAGCAGCTAATGGGGATCCTAATAAAATGCAAAAGGAACACAGTGATGTAGCTACAGTAAGATCTGGTCTACCTGTACAGAGACACAGCCCTGCAGTTTGAGCTGCAGCTGGATCATGTCAACCTCCTGGGAGGAGCAGAGTTTGGTCAGCTCGGCGGTGCGCGCCCACATCTCGTCGATGGCCACGTCCACAGGTTTCAGCTCTACCTGCTTCTCCCCCAACACCTCCACACGCTTCTTCACGTACGGAAACGTGTTGGCCGCTGGACAGGAGAAATATACACCATTCAGCATATTCACACATTTTATAACGTAACCTATTATTACAAACATTTTAGAACACTTTATATAATTTCTCTAGCCTGGGGGCCAGTCTATTCCTACCCTCATGAGAATTTGGCTTGACAACAACAGTAATGGAGTTGGCAAGAGCACCAACAGATTTATTCTTCACAAAGGGGAGCGTGTTGGTCGCTGCCCAGGAGACACACCACACATAATCAGGTCTCATATAAACACATGATAACGTTAATTAATTATGATAAACCTGGGTTATGTTTCCAGTTACGGTTTCCTTTATTCTCCTTGTATGGGAATGTGTTGGCAGCTAGGGAGCAGAGTAAATAGCACAGTTCCAAGTAGCTTCTTGACACTGGAGTCCTTTTTCTGTCACCTTCTCTTGTTTTTCTGAAATCGTATTGTAGTATTGTTCTGAAACGGCCTTTCTGAGAAACTCTGACACTCTTCGGAAGCTAACATTTGAAATGTAGAGAAGTGGTAAAGTCTAACTAACTGGCAGTCCTGGGTCAAATATACGAACAGGTCATGTTGAGCCGCAATTTTATTGCAACAACATTCTGTAAACATCCCTAAAACAAACAAACCACACGTGATAAAGCTTTTAGTGCATATTGGTTGGTCTATGTGTAACATCCTGTGTGCCAGGTCTGTGAGCAGCTATGATAACAGATATTTGAGACAGGTGGGCAAGCTGTTGTTTAATGTCAGTGGTGACAGTGGAATAATCATTAACCGGCCAATGACAATGGCCAATCAAAATGTCTATATCATCACATGATAAACAATTGCAGTGGATATAAGCCATTTAAATTGTCCTATAGCGCTTCAGTTATCAGTTATTGTAATGCTGGTAACCTAATCAGCGGAATTAGCAAGTGGTTAGCTGGAAACCTTCTCTGTCAATTCTAAGAAATAATGTTTACTACTGTTAAAGGAAAAAGCCACTGAAAAACTATATTTTGGTATTTTATTCATTAGTCCTCTGTTATACAGTCCCAAAATGTTTTGCATGTCAGCACTCAAGTTTTCAAGATATTGAACTTTCAAGAAGCAAACAAAGTGTCACCGGCCACATCATCATGATGATGCAAAATGGACAAAAAAAACTGTGGACTAATGAAGAAAATACCAAATGATCGTTTTTGAGGGAAGTTTTCCTTTAAGGGTAATGTGGAACCGATGTCACCATCATAACCATCCTTTCTTGTCTCTATCCTAGTGCTTTAAAAAGTAGTTGTATGAATTTAGTGGGTTCATGAACTTGCAGTAATTATCCAATGGTTTAGATGTTAGTGTAGCTCATCTAATAATAAGTGAAACAAGCTGTGTGCAGTGGATGGGTTTCATTGAAAAGCTTGTATACTTCTTTGTCTCCAGCGCACCACACAAACAGTGTTATTCTGTTTGTCTAATTAAGGTTGAAATATGGAGGTTTTGAGTGTTTAAATGGTCGTAGAGAGGTTGTAAAAAGGTTGTAAAGCGAACAAATTTGTTGAAATAAGGTTTTTGTAGTTGTGTTAATAATGGTTTTACATGGTTTTAAAGAGGTTGTAACGCTAACTAACTATTTATAAGTGTTTTAATTGTTGTAAATGAAGTTAAGTAGTTGTTAAACTGGTTAACTTTGTTGATTGTAATGAAGTTGTAAAGCTCACTCGTTTTTTTATGGTTTTAAAGAGGTTGTGAAGCGCAACTAACTTGTGAGTACGCTCCTCCTCTTGCACTGCTCCTCCACGCCGCCATGTTTCTTCCCCGTCAGCGTGTACGGCGTCTCAAACACAAAGTGGTTGATGTTGTGGCACTTCTCAAAGTCCGTCTTCTTCTCTGGACAGTCCTTCTCGTCAAAGTAAGGCTTGACGAAGGTGACCTGGATGTAGGCAAACTTGGTGTCTAGGTCTTTGGGGTTGACCTGTTGGAGATAGGAGATTAGTATGGTTGGGGTTGTTAGATAGAACCGACTGGAGGGTGTTTCCAACTCCAATAAAGGAAGCAAACTATTTGTTTGCACTATTTCCCCCTTTTAGGAATCTGTAGGCTATCCCAAATGGCACCCTACTCCCTATATAGTGGACTAATTTTGACCAGGGCCCATAGGACTCTGGTCAAAAGTAGTGTACTAAATAGGGAATATGGTGCCATTTGGGATGCAGCCATAGTTCCTACCTTGTTGGAGTCTTGGATGATCTTGACGTTTTCCGTTCCAAACTTGTCCCCGTAGAGCCCTAGAAGGCGCTGAGAGATCTCTGATAGGCCGGTGAGTTTGGGCTCCTTGTACACGTACTCCTTCCCATCCTCCTCCTCGAAGTAGCCCTGTCAACAAGACAAAGTAGCCATTGGAGGCAGTGGGATGTTCATGCTGGCTACTCGGGAGGAACATATTCAGTCATAATTCAATTACACTCTCAAATATGCAATAAATTAAAATGTCTAATGCTCTGTGACTGATATTTCCTGGAATATATTGTAATATGGATTTACAGCTGTGCTTTTCTCAAAATGCTTAATATATATATGTTTTACAATATCTTTATTGCCATTTTTTTATGTACAACATGCATCAGAAAACATGACAATTAAACATGAATTAATGATATTCTAATATCCATCTATTTGAAACAAGGTTGTCCTTTTTGTGCTACTTTAAAGTAACTGAGATACCCGTTGGGCCTCAGGAAACTCCAAACAACTCCAAATACAAAACATCACATATAGACTCAGATACCCATCATCCCTTATATATCTGAAGAGAGAAGTGAAACTTAATCTAAGCCTTACAGGTTTGTTTTAGCTGTTTTAGCCCCGTCACAACCATCCTCCTCAGAGGCCACTAGTCTCTAAGGGATTGGTGTAACTCCACCTTAATCTAATCTCCATCTGTCAGGTAGCGAAGTTACCAAAAGAGAACGACCACATTTTAGGGTTCCCAGGCACTCGATATGGACTGATATCAGACATGGTTAAAAGAAGATGACAAGATCTAACCACTGGTACCTCAATGATGCTAGCAAGAACATGACAGACCAGCACTATTGTTGTTATTTCTTCAGTAATTGATAGAATGAGTTTATTTTCTACCCAAACAAACAGAAGAGAGACAGGAAGATAACATCTAAAAAATATACAGCATAAACACATGACTTCTCTTTTTACTGTGACGAGGTCCCCAAGTAATTGGCACGCCATCCCTGACAGAGAAGAACCACTGGTTGAGCCAGCATACTAAACATTGATTAACTTATATTCCGATGTCCATAATAGCATACCGCTTAATGCTCAATCCATTGTTTCCTTAGAAGTGGTATGCTAGTGTGGATATTGTCTCTCTGTCTGATCCAGAATAAGTGTGTTTCACAGGTATGCAGTCCCAAAGGGCATGTATCCAATTAAAAGACACTGGGAGGAAAACACAAGGTGAACTTGTGTCTTTCATCTTATGTCCACTTGCCGACCCACCTGCCCGTAGAAGGCCACTCTGAAGTAGGTCCCCAGTAGTCTCCGTCCTGTATGCATCACCTCCAGGATCTTATTGTAGGCTCTGTGCAGCGTATCATACAGACGGCTCAGTTTCTGAAGGAAACATACACAAAACTGGGTATTAGTGTGTGTGTGTGTGTGTGTGTGTGTGTGTGTGTGTGTGTGTGTGTGTGTGTGTAGGGTTGAAAAGTTCAACAATGGCATTATTTTAAATTAACTCTGCAACTCTTCCAACTATTGACTTTTCTTCACAACTGCCACCTGTTTGGCACTGAAACATTGACAAAAAATACATATTGACATAGTAAATAAATAAATAAATAAATAAGGATTTAAGAAAAAACGAAATATATTTCCCTGATATTAAACCCGGATATTAAACACCAATGGTATTCACAAAGTTGATGGTTTATATTTAGGATAATATTTTACAGCTTTGTCATTCTATTTATTATGATTTAATTATTTAATTATTTCATATACAGTCGTGGTCAAAAGTTTTGAGAATGACACAAATACTAATTTTCACAAAGTCTGCGGCTTCAGTTTTGATGATGGCAATTTGCATGTACTCCAGAATGTCATGAAGAGTGATCAGATGAATTGCAATTAATTGCAAAGTCCCTCTTCACCATGAAAATGAACTTAATCCCCCAAAAAGATTTCCACTGCATTTCAGCCCTGCCACAAAAGGACCAGCTGCCATCATGTCAGTGATTCTCTTGTTAACACAGGTGGGAGTGTTGACGAGGACAAGGCTGGAGATCACTCTGTCATGCTGATTGAGATAGAATAACAGACTGGAAGCTTTAAAAGGAGGGTGGTGCTTGAAATTATTGTTCTTCCTCTGTTAACCATGGTTACCTGCAAAGAAACATGTGCCGTCATCATTGCTTTGCACAAAAAGGGCTTCACAGGCAAGGATATTGCTGCTAGTAAGATTGCACCTAAATCAACCATTTATTGGATCATCAAGAACTTCAAGGAGAGAGGTTCAATCGTTGTGAAGAAGGCGTCAGGGCGCCAAAGAAAGTCCAGCAAGCGCCAGGACCGTCTCCTAAAGTTGATTCAGCTGCGGGATCGGGGCACCACGAGTGCAGAGCTTGCTCAGGAATGGCAGCAGGCAGGTGTGAGTGCATCTGCACGCACAGTGAGGCGAAGACTTTTGGAGGATGGCCTGGTGTCAAGAAGGGCAGCAAAGAAGCCACTTCTCTCCAGGAAAAACATCAGGGACAGTCAAAGACATCAACACTATGAAATAACACATTTGGAATCATGTAGTAACCAAAAAAGTGTTATTTGAGATTCTTCAAATAGCCACCCTTTGCCTTGATGACAGCTTTGCACACTCTTGGCATTCTCTCAACCAGCTTCATGAGGTAGTCACCTGGAATGCATTTCAATTAACAGGTGTGCCTTCTTAATAGTTAATTTGTGGAATTTATTTCCTTCTTAATGTGTTTGAGCCAATCAGTTGTGTTGTGACAAGGTAGGGGGGTATACAGAAGATAGCCCTATTTGGTAAAAGACCAAGTCCATATTATGGCAAGAACTGCTCAAATAAGCAAAGAGAAATGACAGTCCATCATTACTTTAAGACATGAAGGTCAGTCAATACGGAACATTTCAAGAACGTTGAAAGTTTCTTCAAGTGCAGTCGCAAAACCCATCAAGCGCTATGATGAAACTGGCTCTCATGAGGACCGCCACAGGAATGGAAGACCCAGAGTTACCTCTACTGCAGAGGATAAGTTCATTAGAGTTACCAGCCTCAGAAATTGCAGCTCAAATAAATGCTTCACAGAGTTCAAGTCACAGACATATCTCAACATCAACTGTTCAGAGGGGACTGTGTGAATCAGGCCTTCATGGTCGAATTCCTGCAAAGAATCAACTACTAAAGGTCACCAATAAGAAGAAGAGACCTGCTTGGGCCAAGAAACACAAGCAATGGACATTACACCGGTGGAAATTTGTCCTTTGGTCTGGAGTCCAAATTTGGGATTTTTGGTTCCAACCGTTGTGTCTTTGTGAGACGTGGTGTGGGTGAACGGATGATCTCTGCATGTGTAGTTCCCACCGTAAAGCATGGAGGAGGTGGTGTTATGGTGTGGGGGTGCTTTGCTAGTGACACTGTCTGTGATCTATTTAGAATTCAAGGCACACTTAACCAGCATGGTAAAAAAAAAATGGAATGAGTAGGTATGTCCAAACCTGTTATGATGAGTTTCTCAGGTATCAAAGAATCAAGGATGCAAGGATATACTTAGACATTCTGTGGAGATTTCATACCAAGTTTTTATTGAATCACGAGCTCGTGGGTTCATCTAACAAACGGACATGGCTTTGCCCTTCGTCAGTTGAACTAACTTGAACAAAGAAGACACTCTACCTTATATAGCCTTTATTACCCTTCTGCTGTAGCTCAGCTGGTAGAGCACGGCGCTTGTAATGCCAAGGTAGTGGGTTCGATCCCCGGGACCACCCATACACAAAAATGTATGCACGCATGACTGTAAGTCGCTTTGGATAAAAGCGTCTGCTAAATGGCATATTATTATATTATATTATTATTATTATAAGTCTCCATGGGCACTCCATGTCTTTGATGTTCATTACTCTTTACCCCAAGTCAGTATCCTGCCCATCACTCATGCTATTCTAAACATCACTAATCTACCTTGACATAATGGAATGTAGACTTCATGGCCCCAAACCACTCATCTCTTAACTCTTTCCCTGTCCTCACAATCCTATGACATGACATCATTACAAAACCTTTGACTGGTACTGTATATAATGAAAAATAATATAAACGCAACATATAAAGTGTTGGTCCCATGTTTCATAAGCTGAAATAAAAGATCCATGAAATTTTCCATATGCACAAAATCCTTATTTCTCTCAAAATTTGTGCACACATTTGTTTACATCCCTGTTAGTGAGCATTTCTCATTTGCCAAGATAATCCATCCCCCTGACAGGTATGGCATATCAAGAAGCTGACTAAACAGCATGACTATTACACAGGTGCACCTTGTGCTGGGGACAATAAAAGGCCACTCTAAAATGTGCAGTTTTGTCACACAACAAAATGCCACAGATGTCTCAAGTTTTGAGGGAGCGTGCATTTGGCATGCTGACCAGAGCTGTTGCCAGATAATTTAATGTTCATTTCTCCAACGTCGTTTTAGAGAATTTGGCAGTACGTCCAACCGGCCTCACAACCACAGACCATGTGTATGGCGTCGTGTGGGTGAGTGGTTTGCTGATGTCAACGTTGTGAACAGTGCGCCCCGTGGTGGTGGTGGGGTTATGGTATGGGCAGGCATAAACTACGGACAACCCATTAAAAAAAAAAAGGTATCTGTGACCAACAGATGCATATTTGCAGTGGTGGAAAAAGTATCCTATTGTCATACTTGAGTAAAAGTAAAGATACCTCAATAGAAAATGACTCAAGTAAAAGTGAAAGTCAACCAGTAAAATGCTACTTGAGTAAAAGTTTTGAAGTATTTGGTTTTAAATATACTTAAGTATCAAAAGTAAATGTAATTGAGAAAATATACTTAAGTATCAAAAGTAAAAGTATAAATTATTTCAAATTTCTTATATTAAGCAAACCAGACGGCATCATTTTCTTGTTTTTTAAATTTACGGATAGCCAGGGCCACGCTCCAACACTCAGATATAATTTACAAATGAAGCAATCACTCCCCTATTACTGACTACAAATTATCTATAACAGGGCTATTAACTCACTAACTAGCAAAGGACATTAACAACATGTGCACGTGGCTACATGCAGCTCTTGCTTTGATCTCAAAACAAGTATGGCAATATGTCAATGATCTATTTGCATATAGGCCTACTGCAGCTTTGATTGGTTATGCCACACTGTTCTGTGTAGAGTATGGGCTGAGTCATGCACAGCAGAATCCTACTCTGATACGTTCTGTCTACAACAAAATCTCTTGCATAGTTCGTTTTGTTTCAGCATGTTGCATTAAAAGTGGCTAATATTGCGTTGATTCGATCACAATTGCCACAGTAAAGGGACATGTTGATAGTGCTAACTAACAGGGAAAACTCTAGAAAGTTGACTGAAGTTCAACTTCGTGCTTAGAGGAACCATTGGTTTCCAGTAATATACCCTCCCTTTGCAACCATGTGTGTGTGTATGAGTGCGTATGAGTGGGTGTGTGTGTGATATTTTCAGGAACTACTTCATTGCATGACATGTACAGTAAATCAGCAGGTGATCTATGTACCACCATTTTAAAACAATAACATCTGTGTCACTCCTCAGAGCGAGAGAGAACAGAAATCGGCCAAAGGAATGTGCCACTGGCAACAGACACAACATAGAGTCGGCATTCCAAATGGCACCCTATTCCCTATTTAGTGCACTACTTTTGACCAGGGCCCATAGTGGCTTTGGTCAAAAGTAGGGCACTATGTAGAGAATAGAGTGCCCTTTGGGACTAGCCCAGAGGCTTTTTAAAGCCAGAGCCAAAGAGAAGACAGTCCTAGCATGAGAAGATGGCGAGTGGAACATGATTAGGGTAAACTTCTCATGGACAGTATTTTAGCTTGAGGACTTATTCCATAAACTGACTGGCTGAGCTTATTTATGCTCTATAAACACAAGGGACAGAGTAGTGGAAAACTTCACAGAGACAAACAGGAAGTAGTCAATATTGTCTGTGCCCTTTAATGTAATTCTCTTAATCTGACAATAGAATCCTCATTGTGGGATTCACAAAGTAGCTATTTTTCCCACGGACAACTGCATTCAATCACAGAATGGTTTTGGGTATTTTAAAAACTACTACTACTACTACTACTACTTCAGCCAGATAGACTCCTCTCACAGCTGCTTCCAGTTTACAAAGACACTGCATAAACATTTGTTCTTGATGATTCAATTTCCATTTCAGTCTTGTTTGTGTGTGTATGGTCGTGTGTATGTGTGTGTGTGTGTTTGTTTGGCTTGTACCTGGAACTCGTGGCGTTTCTCGTAGACAGGGATAATGAGCTTGGCAATGTGTGTAATCAGCTCGTATCTCTCTGCCTTCCACAGCCCCTCTACACACAGCTCTAGACGCTCCACTAAGACCTCCTGTAGGGCAGACCAGGAATCACAGTCAGTGAAAACAGCCAGGGCCAAGCCAACATCAATAGGCATCAGCGGATTACAAGCTAGAGCCTGCTATAGTGGTGTACAGTGCCTTCAGAAAGTATTCATACCCCTTGACTTATTCCACATTTTGTTGTGTTACAGCCTGATATCAAAATGGATTACATAAACATTCTCACCCATCTTAACACAATCCCACATAATGACAAAGTGAAAACATGTTTGTATAAATGTTTGCACATTTATTGAAAATGAAATACAGAAATATCTAATTTACATAAGTATTCACACCCCTGAGTCAATACATGTTAGAATCACCTTTGGCACCGATTACATCTGTGAGTATTTCTGGGTAAGTCTAAGAGCTTTGCACACCTGGATTGTACAATATTTGCACATTATTCTTTCAAAAATTCTTCAAGCTCTGTCAAGTCGATCATTGCTAGACAGCCATTTTCAAGCCTTTCCATTGATTTTCAAGCCAATTTAAGTCAAATCTGTAACTCGGCCACTCAGGAACATTCAATGCTGTCTTGGTAAGCAACTCCAGTGTATATCTGGGCTTGTGTTTTATGTTATTGTCCTGCTGAAAGGTGAATTTGTCTCCCAGTGTCTGTTGGAAAGAAGACTGAACCAGGTTTTCCTCTAGGATTTTGCCTGTGCTCTATTTCATTTATTTTTATCCTAAAAAACTCCCTAGCTCTTGTTGATGACAAGCATACCCATAACATGATGCAGCCACCACCATGCTTGAAAATATGAAGAGTGGTACTCAGTGATGTGTTTTGTTGGATTTGCTCCAAACATAACACTTTGTATTCAGGACGTAAAGTTAATTTCTTTGCCACATTTTTTTGCAGTTTTACTTTAGTGTCTTATTGCAAACAGGATGCATGTTTTGGAATATTTTTTATTCTGTACAGGCTTCCTTCTTTTCACTGTCATTTAGATTAGTATTGTGGAGTAACTAGAATGTTGTTGATCTACCCTCAGTTTTCTCCTATCACAGTCATTAAACTCTAACTGTTTTAAAGTCACCATTGGCCTCATGGTGAAATCTCTGAGCTTCCTCTCCGGCAACTGAGTTAGGAAGGAAGCCTGTATCTTTGTAGTGACTGGGTGTATTGATACACCATCCAAAGGGTAATTAATAACTTCACCATGCTCAAAGGGATATTCAATGTCTGTTTTTTTTACCCATCTACCAATAGGTGCACTTCTTTGCGTGGCATTGGAAAACCTTCCTGTTTTTTGTGGTTGAATCCGTGTTTGAAATTCACTGCCTGACTGAGGGACCTTACAGATAATTGCATGTGTGGGGTACAGATATGAGGTAGTCATTCAGAAATCATGTTAAACACTATTATTGCACACAGAGTGAGACCATGCAACTTATTATGTGACTTGTTAAGCACATTTTTACTCCTGAACTTATTTAGGCTTGCCATAACAAAGGGGTTGAAAACGTATTGACTCAAAACATTTCAGCTTTTCATTTTTTATTAATTTGTAAAAGTTTGTAAAAACATAATTCCACTTTGACATTATGGGGTATTGTACGTAGGCCAGTGACACACAATTTCAATGTAATATATTTTAAATTCAGGCTGTAACACAACAAGATGTGGAAAAAGTCAAGGGATGTGAATACTTTCTGAAGGCACAGTAAATAGAATAGGCTAAATACGGTGGTTCTAATATTGAAAGAGAATACAACATGAGCTCACACACACAATCGTTACAATGACCATAGGAGTTGACAAGATAGCACAAACAGATCTGGGACCAGATCAGAAAATACAGTCAGGCCAAGCCAAAATCAACAGCTGTTATAATATGAAAGAACTATCAGCTATGAACCAATGATGAATCCGTATGCTATATCAACCACCAGAGCCGTCTATTTACAGTCAATTAAAGTCAGCGATATGATGTAGTTGCGCAAAGTAAACAGCATAGTGGGTTACTGTTCACATCATCTAAGAGCGTTGGAACCCTAGGCTAAACTTCTCCGCTGTTCTGATCCTGTGGCTACCACGTTGTAAAAGCGTGAAACGAAACCGTGCGCATGCACAGATACTGTGTGTGACTGTGTGAGAGCAAAGTCTTGCATCTTGCGCATCACCATATCTGCAGAGCTGCTTGTGCAACGTCATTTTGCTGACTACCATTAACTATGTGGTTATAACAGTATGAAGATAAGACTGTCATTATATCATCATAAACATGGCCACACACCTCTGTATAGTAGACGTCCTGCATTCCCGTGTCTTCCTTCATGGCGGCCTCCTCTTCGATGTTCAGAGTGATCCTCTTGAAGGCTGCCAGGCCACTGGGGAACATCTCTGAAACAACAACAACAACAACAACAACAATAATAACAACAATAGACAGACCACCAGTCCCTATATTTTATGTCATTCTTTCACCCAATATTGGGTGTAGGAGGGGAGTAGACAGCACTTCAGCCAACATGAGACGAGGCATTCTCAGACTGTGTTGCTGCTCCAAGTGCCGTTATTTATTATGGTGTCAGTGGTTGTTGTATTAAGGGATGTCCAGTAATTATAGTGGTGGATACGAAATATATGGAGCATGTATTAAATCATGAACAAGAAAAGCAACGACACTGTAGATGTTGTGATTATGATTCAGCCTGTTAAATGTGTGTATTTATTTTGGATGTTCCGGACCTGTTGCTGGCCAGACTGAAAGATAAAATGTTGTTTTTCATGCTGTAATATCATGTTCAATATCAGTTCCCTGTTGGCTCACTTTGTTTGGAATTGAGTTAGAAGCACTGCCACACATAATAAATATGAGCCTGCGCAGAGAAGCACGAGATTGAACTCCACTCAACATTCTACAGTTTTCCCCTTTAGTTAACACTATCAACGTTTCGCTCTACTGTGGGAATTGTGATCGAATCAACGCAATATTACCCATTTTCAATGTAATATACTGAACCAAAACTAACTATGCAAGATCTAGTATGCAAAACTAACTATGCAAGAGATGTTCTTGTAGGCAGAGTGCATTGGAGTAGGATTATATTGCATTGGCAGCCAATCAGAGCTACAGTAGGCCTATATGCCAATAACAATTGCCATATATGGATCTGTGCCATTCACTTTGAACTGGACTGTGTTTAGGCTACAGTATAAGCGGGTTGATGCATTTGTTTTGAGATCAAAGTGAGAACTGCATGTAGCCACGTGTGCACATTTGTTCATATTCTTTGCTAGTTAGTGAGTTATTAGCCCAGTTATACCTAATTTCTAGTCAGCAATTGGGGAGTGGTTGCTTCCTACAAGAGCACAAAATGTGTACATTTCTAGCCATCTTTGAAAAGCGAGTCAAGTAAAGAGCTTTTTTATGTCATAAAGGGGCAGTGTTGTATTTTGAGACAGGCTTGAATAAGCTAAGTAGTCAATAGGCAGAGCGTAGCATAATGTGTCTGATTCTCTGTAATAATGGTATGGGAATAATTATGGATTTTTGTGAAGTGGTTTCTTGCATCAAACAACACAACAACCTTTTCAGTCACATCCTTGTCTGAAGGACAAGTGGATAAACAGGTTAATGTCAAGCCCTATATATTTTTAGTTTGTTGTTAAAGTCTCATGGAATGTAGGCCTACATTGAACACCACACATTGGCTGCTACTGTAGGCTGAATGATGGAACAGCTATTTCCATCTTAAAATGTTATGGAATGTGTTTTTCTCCATTGTTTTTGATGGTAGGCACTCTGGTAGACCTACATTATGATCAAATAGCCACAGTAGCCTACTTGGTCACTGTTAAAACTGTAACTTAAAGCTGGTAGAGCCTCAGTGTTCACAGTAAATGTGCGCCAGAAGTTGCATAGAATTTTCACAACGTGCAAGTTTGCGCACAGCGGACCTGAAATTTGCTCAGTGCCGAAAAATTTTTGAGGGAAAATTGTGGACAGGGTTGTTAAGTATAAAGTCTCCCGGCTGGACAAAATAAATATCTTATAATAGGCTAATACTGGTGCCACGGCTTTAGTCCATTTTTGAGTAAACAGAATGCCAGCATGCTGGTGTTTTAACAAAAGTAATACCTCTAATAATAATAATGTAAAAAGACAATGTGAAGTGACAATAACGTAACAACATTGCAGTGTTACAAAAGTGGAGCTAAAAGAGTTGGGTAAATGGGAGGTGGGGAAAGAACGTCTTACTTTTCCTGTGGAGGTATTCTGCCACCAGTGCAGCAACGTGGATGTAACACATAGCAGCCTGTGGAGACACACCAAGCAGTGGTTAGTGGGGTTAGGGTTGGTAATCACTCAACTGACACTGGCAAAACCCTAGAGTTCAACTTTCCACACACCCACATGTGCACACAAGAGAATGCAAACATACACACACCCTGTTTCACAATGTGTTGATTCATCGAGAAGGGGGAGGACTTGAGCTTAACCACGGACCTGCCTGTCACGCCCTGGCTCTGGGGACGCGTGTATGTTGAGCCAAGGTGTGAGTTTTCTTTGTTTATTCTAGTTTTATCTAGCTCTTTCGTTTCTATGTTGGCCAGTGTGGTTCTCAATCAGAGGCAACGTGTATCAGCTGTTGCTTGTTGTCTCTGATTGGGAACCATACTTAAGCAGCCAGTTTTCCCACAGTGTTTGTGGGATCTTGTTCCTGTGTAGGTTTGTGTTTTGCACCTTTGGACGTCACGTATCGTTTGTTGTTTTGTTTGTGTTATCAGTATTTAATAAATATGTTCACCTTCCACGCTGCGCCTTGGTCCTCTGTCCCCGACGATCGTGACACTGCCTGACATCAGACAGATCACTGTCTGGCTACAGACGTTCTAAACCTAGAGGTTTTTAGACCAAGTTCGCTGTCTGGCTACAGCGGTTCTAAACCTAGAGGTTTTTAGACCAAGTTCGCTGTCTGGCTACAGCGGTTCTAAACCTAGAGGTTTTTAGACCAAGTTCGCTGTCTGGCTACA